GCTTCACCTTTTGACTCAGCTCTCTCTTCACCACGACAGACCGGTACAACGCCCCCTTCAAGGTAGACGCTGCACGTATCCGCCTATCAATCTCTCTCTCAATCTTTCCTTCATTCGTGAACAAGACTCCAAAATACTTAAACTTTTCCACTTGGGGCAGGAGCTCCTCCCCGACCCAAAGAGTGCCTTCTACAGGTTGGGGAGGATATTCGATTAGAGTTACAATTTATATATTTTTAGTGTGTGCCACTGAAAGTCAAACGTCAATGTGTTGAAGGCTTTTCCCAGTGTCTGCATGTAAGTTCTTGTGTCTGTCAGCAAAATATCACAAGTAAGTGGAAAAATTGTACCTAAACTTTTGGAAATGTAATATTAGATGTAACTCTATAGTTAATTTAATTTAGAAGTCAACCACATTTAAGATGGCCACACTTTACAAAACACAAATATGATTATAATTTAGCCAAGTATATATTGTGCCAAGTTTATATTTGGTTGATTGTAGCTGGCGCTCATCTCTAACACTTTAAGTGCAACTCTTCACTTTTTATCTTTAAAACTTTAAAGTTTTAAGCAACTAACTAAATGTTAAGAGTCAACCCTGTCTGTCTGTTAGCAAGATATCTCATAGGCCTCTAATCAAACTGTCAAAAAAAACAAAAAAATAAAAATAAAAACAATCACTGGATGTGCATCTACAATTGATCAGCCTTTGAAATTAATCTAATATAATATGATCACTACAGCAAATTGACATAACCAACACCAAAATGACTATAATTTGTTCAGTTTTACTGATATTGAGCAATTTGAACCAAGATTTGATGTTGTAATAGCCGAGAGTCTTTCACAACACATTCTGGGCATGACATTTCACAATAGTCTCAAACTTTGGCATAAAAAAGAGCAATGCTAGGATTTTAAGTTGTTTTATTTTAAGTTTTTAAAGATGTCAACAAATAAATTAGGATAGTTAAACAATGCTGTTTCCTAATATTATTACTGTTATCATCATCATTAATTTAACTTTTTTTTCTCAACGATACCATAAGTACAGTAAACCCGTTTAAAGTCTAAGTAAGCATCAAATTATGTTTGTTCTTGTTTAATGTCAGTCATTTTTATGGTTGGCAAGAAATACACAATGCACCTCCTGAAATATATTTTCAACATGCAATAGCCTAATCCTTTCCCAAATGAGCTTCTTGTTGAATAATTTTAAAAGCTGGCATTAATCTGTAAAATCTCAAATTCATTTAATAAAAAAAGAGCATCTTCATTTAGAAGGAAATCCTTTTATTATTCTATAATTGTGAGGACATTCAGAAACACAATAGCACACCCGCGCGCGCAGCAGAAACACAAGGAAAGCCAGCCGTGGGCGCAGATTTGGCTGCGTCTCCGCGCGCTGATGCTCCGCATCCCTAACTGACACGCCTTGCGTAATCTCCTCCCATCAGCCACGGGAAGTCATTATCCTCCATTTGAGCCGTGTCATTAGAAACTACACCACCCAGCTGGCATTATAAATAATTACTGGATGAGGAGAGAATGTCGAAGGAAATATGAAGCTTAAAAATTTGCATAATGCGATTTTTCCTCCCAATAAGTATCAGGAAATGGATCTGCTCATGTAGCCATGTGGAAATTAGAATTAAACTAGGATGATTGTCGGATTGCAGCACGTGTGCCTTTAATTACTTGCAGTAATCCAGATCAAATTTGGAGGCATGTACAGCAAATATGAATCTCCTCTCTGTGTGCGCCAGAGGTTACTCAACTAAAGGGAGATGACGTCACTTTTACATGAGGAAACCTAACCTGTTTCAGAGTCATATGAAGAAGTTGGAAAACAAGTATCCTGATCTAAAAAAAAATAAATAACAATCAACTTTTGTTTTCCATTTCTTTTAAGTTGCAATTTGTGATCCATCCCCATCATTTCATTTAACAACACCTTACCTCTCAGTTTGTCTAACTTTGCTGACAAATCTTCTGTTTGTCATATGATAACACTTTATATAGGGTGATGACAGTGTGATGGAGATGGTTGCTCTCCACCCTTACCCCCACCCTCCCTCCAGTTGTGCCGCGGGTGCACCTCCTCTGGAGCAAACCTTTACAAGAACACAGGAGAGAGAGAGAGGCGGCGGAGATTAAAGCAGGGAGGGGTGGAAAGAGGAGACGGGAGGAGAGCGTGATTGTGTGCGTGCGCGCGTAAATGCGTGGATGGATGGACACCGCCAGGCTGTGCTGTGCTGTTAAAGGAGCGCGCGCACACATGCGCTCTCTCTCTCTCTCTCTCTCTCTCTCTCTCTCTCTCTCTCTCTCTC